ACTGGGGCCTAGCCACAACCCCATCCAATGGGGCCCAGCCACCCCTCCACCCCCCGACCTTGTCCACTGGGGCCCAGCCACAACCCCACTCACTGGGGCCTGTCCACAGCCCTCCCCACCCTGTCCACTGAGGCCCATCCACAGGAGCCTGGCCACAGCCCCTATGGTCCCACGCACAATCCCGGCACTGGGCTGCCAGCACGGCCACACTATTGGGACCCCCATGGTCCAACCATGGCCCTGCAATTGCCATTGGGACCCAATCCCTGTCCTCATAGTCCCACAGCCCTGCCACAGAGCTCTCATCACCACAGCAATGGCACCACCACCATCGTATCCACGGTAGTAAGATGAGGGCCTGTAACAGAAGCCCACATATCACAGGCTGGGTATGAGGCCCGAGGCCCAGACAGCAATGGGCAAGACTTTGCTAATAAAGCAGAGGGAAGCTGTGAGCAAGAGACAGGCCCTGCTCACTGAAGTTGGCAAGAACAGGGCTGATATTGAAGAAATACTCAGACCTCAGGGGCACTAGGCACAGACCGGAAGCACATTCTAGAGGGGTTGTAACACCTCGTTAAGAAGCGTCTTGGTACCACCCCACACCCCCCTTGCCACAGATAACAAGAAGTTTTGATCCAGGTTTAGGACAGGGTCTAAACTGACTCCCCTTGTGTGAGGTAAGGGGTGGTAACTAGGCAATCTGATACCACAGGAGTGATGTGTAACTTGTCTGTACCTGCATCTAAAAGTAAACCCCAGAGGGTGGTACGCAAGGGGGCAATGCAGGATCCATGGTATTGACGGAGTCAGTCCGCTGTCCGTGTGTACATATGCAGAGTGGCGCAGTGGCGCATCGGTTCGCTGACAACTCTTACTGTACCTCGCTGGGCAATAATCCTGGCCGGGTGTGTTCGATCCTTATCTGACTTGTGGTCTCTGGGGGTGCTCTCGGAGTCTATCGCGTTGACTAATTGCGCATGTTTAAGGCGGTAGACAGGGGAGCACCCACACGCACGCAGCCGAAAGTTCATCATCATTGACGGAGCAGAAGACCTGTCAGGGACCCATTGGGAACGCCTGACTGACGACACCCACACCCTGGTTACTGCTGACTGCTCCACTGACTCCCATGACTCCAGCCGTGCCACTTCACCCTCAAGCCATCAGCCTGTCAGATCACGCCCTCAGCACTACCTATGGCCAGGAGGGTGCTGCTGGCAGTCCCTGCCCCAACCTCCTCCTCTAACTCTGTTCCAGCCCAGAGCTCCATGTGCTGCCAGCATCACAGCCCATGGGTCACCACCCGGTCTGAGATGTCAGGCCACCAGAGGACCCATCAGGCTTGGTAGGGAGTCCCCACCTCGCACCAGCAGTGGCACGCCATGGGGGCCCTCCTGGGGCTATCGCTCCAGTCACCGTGTGCTTGCTGCCGCTCTCAGCCTTGCCATGCAGCAGTGCATGGGCTGGTATCTGCGTGCACCTCTGTGTACACAGTCTGGCATGTACCTGTGTTTAGGGGTTCTGGCCATCTCCTTGGCTGTAGGCCTGTGTGTGTGCGCCTGCATCACTTGGGTATGTGTCCGATGTCATCGCCATGCATCAACGACTGTAGATTTGTGTGTGCATATTTCTTTGGGGTGTGCATCTGTGTGCGCATATCTCTTGGGGGGGAGGGTGTGCGTGCATCTGAGTGTGTAGCTGTGTACTTACATGCCTACATCTCCACAACATTCTGTGTGGGTATGTGCAGCGGTATGTTTGCCTTTTTGCTGGGTATGCGCGGACGTGTCTACATATATGTGCACGTGCTTATCTTGTGGTGTATATACTGCTAAAGGAATTGGCACACGTGTCCGCGTGCGTGTCAAAGTGTGTGTGCATGGGGGGCGTTGGGTGCTTAGTGAGTGCACGGAGGGGGTGCGGCATCAGCAAGTTCAGGCTTGAAATTAGGCAAAGGTTTCGAACCATCAGAGGAGTGAAGATCTGGCACCAAAGGGAGCTGTGGGATAGAAACCTAATTGGCTTCAAGCCTGAGCTTGGTCCGTTTATGGAGGGGGTGGGTGTGAAAGGACGGCCTGCAAGGGCATGTAGCTGATGGGTGACTGCTAGCAGCAAACATCTCCAATGGCTGGTAACTAGATGGGGAGTGCTCTGAATTGCTACAGAGAATTCTTCCCCAAGGTGTCTGGTTGGTGGGTCTTGCCCACAGGCTCAGGGTCTAACCAATCGCCATATTTCAGGTTGGGAAGGAATTTCCCCCCCAGGTCAGGCTGGCAGAGACTCTGAGGCTATGTCTACACTACGGGTTTTTGCGGACGAGGCAATGCAAACGAAACACTGATTAGCATTTTCTCGCGCTTCATTTCATAATCTATTCCGATCCATTTTTGCACAAGAGGTTTTTGCGCAAAAAAATGCAAGGTGGACGTGTCCATTTTGTGCAAAACCCCCTTTTTGTGCAAGATCCTTCTGCCTCTCCCAGAGAGGGGTTTTTGCGCAAAACAGGCACGTCCACACTTCATGTTTTTGCACAAAAACTCCTCGAGCAAAACCGGATCGGAATAGATTATGCAAAAGAAGCGCAAGAAAATGCTAATCAGTGCTTCATTTGCCTTGCCTCTTCCGCAAAATCCTGTAGTGTAGACATAGCCTGAGGATTTTTCACCTTCCTCTGCAGCATGGGGCATGGGTCACCTGCAGATTTAAACTATTGTAAATGATGGGATCTCTGTAACTTGAAGTCTTTAAACCAGTGGTTCCCAAACTTTTTGGCATCATGATTTTTGGGAGACCCTCACATCCCCCTGCCTCCAGTTTGGGAATCTATGCTTTAAACCATGATTTGAGGATGTCAGTGATTCTGCCAGAGGCCATGGGTCTGTTACAGGAATGGGTGGGTGAGGTTCTGTGTCCTCCAGTGCTTAATTTGTGCCCGAGTTGAACCCTGGTGCATCTGGGTTTGGCAGTTCATAATCAACGTTCCCTCTAATTTTTTCCATCCATGTGTGGAATAAATGTTGTTATATGCACTGAAGCATGTGCAGTGTGCACCACCAATAGAAACACATGCTGCTGTAGGTGCTCTGCTAATCAGCTCGGTGGCATTTGACTCTCTCCTGGGTGGCTGCCTAAGTGCACAGCTTACAAGGACCACTCTTCATAGTCCAGCACCTCTGGGCTTGGCAGTTCATAGCCTAGCATCTTTGGGCTTGCTGCAGAAGTTATGAATGCAAAAAATTGCTGGAGCCCTGGAAACTCTTTCATACAAATGAAGCACTGGTGGCCGGCAACGTGCACACTAGATGATCATGAAGGTCCCTTCTCAGCGGAATGTCTAGTGTGCACGTGGCAGTGTGTGTGGGCACGGGTGTGTGCGTGTGCAGCAGTGTGCAAGTGCAATGTGTGAGAGTGTGGCAGCATGTGAGTGCACAGGTGTGTGCACATGTGGCAGGATGAGTGCACAGGTGTGTGCACATGTGGCAGGATGAGTGCACGGGTGTGTGCCAGCGTGAGTGCACAGGTTTATGGATATGGAGTCCCTAATTCCCTGCTGCAGTTCCTGCCCATCCCCACAAGAGGCTGTTCTCCCCCTACCTCTATGCCCTCCCTTTCCCCGGTGCCGTGTACCTGAGGTGATAGACGTTGCTGTCCCCCTGGAACCAGCTGTAGGTGAGGTTGCCAGGATAGGCCTCAGCTTGGCAGGCCAGGAAGGCATCCTGGGTGATGTTGACCGTGATGTTCTGTGGAGGCACCACGATGACCGGTGGCCCTGGCATACACAGGGCAGAGTGAGGCTCTGGACAGAAGGGGCACCAGCTCGCTTGGACAGGGAGGGCAAGCGCTGACTAGACCAATGGGACACGGACAAGATTCCAAGAGAGGCTTCAATTCTGCTGCCGATGTGGAGAGGGGCTGAGGGAGATGTAAGGGGCTAATGGGGCCTGAAGGGGACGGGCGAGGGGGAGGACCACCCTTGCAAGATCCTTCTTTGGGCCACGTGTGCAAAGGGAGAGGCCGACCCTCCCCCACATTGCCCTGTGCGTGCGTGTGTCCGTGTGTGTACACGTATGCACCCAGCCTCTGCTCCACCAGGCTGGTCTCTGCAGCGGAAGGGAAGACGTGCCCAGAGGACAGGACCTGCCTGGCTATGGAGATTGCCCCGGAAGCAGCCCATGCCCCTTACCTTGAACGAGCAGGCGGAGGGTGTGGGTGACGCAGCCCTCCTTGCTGGAGGCGTGGCACGTGTAGGTGCCAGCGCTGGCCCGCTCCACGCTGGCAATCCTCAGTGTCCCATTGCTCACCTACGAAGGCACAAGACAGCACAGGCGGGAGTGCAGGGCAGGACATCTTCAGGGCCCCCAGCCCAGCAGTGGACAAAGGCTCAGGCTCCACCCCCAGCTGCCACCCAGAGCCTGCAGCTCCGCTCCTGGCCCAGTCATTCCCCCGCAGCTGCAAACCTGGCAGAGCCCAGACGTGGCTACAATCCCAGCTCTCGCCATAGCCCCAGTCTTGGCCCTGGACGCGGCTCTGCTCCCACTTCCAGTCCTCCCGCCCCTCCCCCAAGTTCCCTCTAAGCTGCGTGGCCATGCAGCTTCCTACTGAGTCCCATGCACTGGCTATTAAGCCCTGCGCAGGGGCTTGGGGCTACAGTGGGGAGAGATGCCTCTCCCCAAGCCCCGAAGCTGCCACAGCCGGAGAGAGGCTCATCTCGCCATCGTCCCCCGCACAGAGCTGCCATGGCCAAGGGAGAGGCACCCTCCCGTCAGCCCCAGCATGGAGTTGCTGAAGCCGGGGCAACTCAGTGCTGGCGCCGGAGGGGAGGTAGTCACCAGCAAATACGGTTTCTGAGAGGAGGGGTGTGGGAGGGGAACAAGGCCCCTGCCCTGAGCACTCGGACCTGGGGGGCAGGGTGGGGGGCCGTGCTTGCAGGTGAGAGCAGTGTGTGTGGCACGCTGCAGAGACTCATGCCCCCGTCCCCAGCAGCCGGACCTGCCGGCCACTTCTGGAGCACAACCTGGTGCCTCAGGTCACACAGGCAACTTGCCTTAGCACCGCTGCCCAGGAAAGCCCAAGTCCCAACCGCCCACGCTACCCCAAGACTCTCCAAACCCAGAGCTACCTCTGCATCACATACCCCTTGTCCCCCAAAGCCCGCACCCCAGTCCAAAGCCTGTACCCCCTCCTGTACCTGAACCCCAAGGCCTGAGCCCCTCCCCAAACCTCAGGCCTACCTCAGAGCCTTCACCCCCTCCTGTACCCCAACCCACAGCCCCCTCCTGTATTCCAAGTCCTTGAGGACAGGGGGACCACAGACTGCAGGAATTTGCAGGAAACCAGTAAATCTCTTGTAAGTTGATCATAAACAGAACGTCAGCAGTGAAAAGCAAGTTTTCCTTTTTCTTTTTAAAAAAGGTTTTAATACTTCAATTTAAGCGAGGGAACGGAATAGACTTGATGTCTTTTATAGCATAAGTTAAAGTATTGTTTCATGGTCTAAGCAAGATTTGTTTTATTCTTTCGTGGCAAAAACGGTGCCTGAATTCCATTTATATAAACAATATATTAACCGATCCGTGTTGCGTTGTGTGGCATGGGGAAATATCTCTCTCTTGCAGGACTGAAGGTTTCTGTGGGTGGGAGCAGGATAAAAAGTGAAAGAAACAATGCAAGTGGGAGTGGGTATTGTGGCTCGGGATTAAAAAAACATTCCAGTGCAGGGTTCTGCTACAATCTCTCCTTCAAGGCCAGCCCCAGCTCGGAGCGGCAGAAGGTGGAATCCGTTTCATGCTGCAGAGTGGCCACAAGGGGTCAGAGCGGTCATGGTCAGGATCATGAGGGCTTTGGCCAGGCAGAAGGGCGTTCCTTGCTCTGCCCTGCCAAGTCTCCGGGCTGGGGGCAGAGGGGGTCATGGCCAGTGCCTGGAGCAGGAGACCTGTGTGGACTGGCCCTACTGTGGTTTCTGTGCTGCTGGGTAGCTCCAGGGCAGGCAGAAATGGGCTCAGCTAGGTCCTTGGTGCACCTGCCTTCCCTCTCTCCTCAGCTTCACCCCTAAGGCTGGGAAAACTGCAGTGGTGACAGAGGTATTCTCCTCCCTGCCCAGTGCCACCCCTCTGTCTCCGTGAGCCCTGCCCCTTCTTAGTGCCTACTGGGGGAGGGAGCCCTCAGTTCACAGCACTTGGGCAGATGCAGGAGACAGCCAGGGAAAACTCCCGGATCTCCTCCAGCGCTGGAGCTGCCCCTCCCTTACCTGCACCTTGTCTCCACTCTGGATGGGCAGGTCGTTTCTCTTCCAGGCAATGACAGGCTGGGGGTTGCCAATGGCGGAACAGGTGAGAGTCAGGGATTCTCTGTCCGGCACCTCCACAAGGGCTGGCGGGGTCTCCAGAAAGGTGGGGGGAGCTGTGGAAAGGACACAGAAACTGCTTCAGAACCACGCTGCTGGCCCCAGGGCATGCACCACGCCTGTTGGTTCTGCGGCAGAGAGACATCAGCCCCCAGGCATGCACTTTGCTTGGTCCTGAGATGGGGGGTCAGAGCCAAGGGCTAGGAGGCAGGATCCCCGGGTTCCGTTCCTGGCTCTGGGGCATGATCTAGCTCTCTGTGAGGGAGAAGGGGGAGGTTATGGACAGGGAGTGGGGGTATGTCTACACTACAGCGCTAATTCGAACTAGCATGTCCACACAGAGTGGATCCTGAACCGGGGTTAAGGATGGCCGGAAGCAGTGCCGGCAGGGCATCAGATGAGGACTTAGAGTGTGGAGCTGCTGTCTCAGGCTAGCCGAGGGCTGTGCTTAAAGGGACCCGACCCCTACCACGGACAGACAGTTCTCAGGGGTGCCCCGCTTGCAAAGCAGTCCTGGCTTGGATTGCCCGGAGGACCCACACTGGGCACATCACAGCACTCGGCCATCAGACCAGCTGCACTTGCCGCAGGCTGCCATCTGGGGAGAGGAGGCAATTGGGGGGCTGCAGGAGAGGTTCCATCCCCAGAAGCCCGCAGAGCTAGCCCAGTCCTCCCCATCGGGGGCTTGTACCCCATTCCTCCCTCACCTCCTTCCACTTACCCCTCCCTAGCCCCCCTTCCTGATGGACAAAATAAAGGACAATTGTGTTCAAAAATAGAATCTCTCTTTATTGAACAAAACTGGGGGAGACTGGGAAAAGGAGGTGGGAGAGGGGAAGGGAGATGGTGGGAGAGGGGAGGGCGACTACAATGATGAGGGGTTTGGAACAGGTCCCATATGAAGAGAGCCTAAAGAGACTGGGACTTTTCAGCTTAGAAAAGAGGAGATGGAGGGGGGATATGATAGAGGTCTATAAAAGCATGAGTGGGGTGGAGAGGGGGCATACAGAAAAGTTCTTCATAATAGAAGGACTAGAGGACACCAAAGGAAAGGAATGGGTAGCAGGCTTCAAACTAATAACAGAAAGTTGTTCTTCACAAAGCAAAGAGTCAACCTGTGGAACTCCTTGCTGCAGGAGGCTGTGAAGGCTAGAACTAGAACAGAGTTTAAAGAGAAGTTTGACCAAGTCATGGAGGTTGGGTCCATGGAGTGGTATTAGCCAGGGGGTAGAAATGGTGTCCCTGCCCAAAGTTCGTGGAAGGCTGGAGATGGATGGCATGAGACAAATGGCTTGGTCACTGTCTTTGGTCCATCCCCTCCAGGGTACCTAGGGTTGGCTGCTTTCGGCAGACAGGCTACTGGACTAGATGGACCTTTGGTCTGACCCAGTACGGCCATTCTAAGCTCAGGGCTCAGGGTCGGGGGTCTCAGTGGACCACCCTGATTTTCATGCAAACCTGCTCCTGGGTGGCCAGGCTGGCAGCTCTCCTGCCCTAGACGGCCCCTTTCCTGTGCCTAGTGCGGAGTTCGTGGACGAGGTACACGATGTCTGCACTAGACCAGGTGGGTGCCTGCCTCTTATGGTCCTGGCCAAGCTCCTGAGAGCCGCCAGCCTGGTCCCGGGAAGAGGCGGAGGGCTGGGGGGCATCGGATGGCTGGCTCATGGCGTGCCAGGTGCAGGGTCTGCTGGCTGGGTGCTGGCAGGCTTGCACCTGGCACAGGCACCAGGCTGGCACGCCCCTTTAAGGGCTCTGGGGCCGGGAGGGGGGCATACGAGTTTCCCTGGTGGTGCCCAGAGTGGCCACCAGGGAAAGCTGGGGAGGGCTAGCCTCCCTAGTTCGAATTAAGGGGCTACACAGCCCTTAATTCGAACTAGTAAGTTCGAACTAGGCTTAGTCCTCATACAATGAGGTTTACCTAGTTCGAACTAAGCGCTCCACTAGTTCGAATTAAGTTCGAACTAGCGGAGCGCTAGTGTAGCGCCTATCAAAGTTAATTCGAACTAACGGACGTTAGTTTGAATTAACTTTGTAGTGTAGACATACCCTGGGAGATCTGGAGTCTGATCCTGTCTGTGGTGCTGGGAAAATTCCTTCCTCTCCTCCCTCCCCTCCCCTGCCAACCCCAGAGTGGGGAAACGAGGACAGAGCTGTACCGGGGAGGGGCTGGGGCCTTCACTGGCAGTGCTGAAAAACCATACACAAGAAAAAGTTTGATTCAGCCCCAACTGAAAGTGTCCACACGGAGAAATGCCAGTGAAGGGGAAAAGTCGGCGGGCTTGTTTTGAGCCGAACAAAGTCTGTTGTGCAGCCTGGAACCAGGTGTTTCGCTCCCTGAGGCTTTAAATGCAAATACGTGAAAGCAAAGGAACGAAGGGCCAGGCCCCCAAATGGCCAGAGGTGGAGCAGCCCTTCCAGCCTTGAGCCTGAGTGACCCGGATGTGGAGGGTGGGCAGGCGGGATGCCTGGGTGTGCACACAAGCTTGAAGCACCGAATGAGCCAGTCTCTGTCTCTGGGATCCTGCATTCCAGGACTTTGCCCCCTCATTTCACCCCCAGGAGGAGTTGCTCCTTCGCTGGGGTCCAGCAGCCCCTCAGGGAGGGGAACAGTTGGTGCAGACTGCCCTGCCCCCCAGATATTGCTGAACCCTCTTCCCCATGGGTCTGGGATTGCTGGGACCCTGGGGCAGCTGCTGGGTTGCTATGGTGACAGGGAGGGGAGCCATCGGCCTGTGGAGAGCAGGGCTGGCTCCCTAAGGCTGATGGCAGAGGGTCTGCAGCCCAAGACGGGGCTGCTGGGCTGAGCCGGAAGAGAAGCTCTCGGGCACCTCCTCTGCCTTCGCAGCTGGATGGGATGGAGCCGCCCATAAGGCATGAAGTGCAGGGTGGCTGCTGCAGGGGAGGGCAGGAACCTGGACCCGCCCTGCACTCCAGCTTCCCAGCCTCCAGGCTAACTGGGGCTATAAACGGAGAAGATAAACAGCCATAAACAGGGGCCTTCCTGCACCCCCAGCCAATGAGCGATGCTGCCTGGGGTCCAAGGGTCAGGGCCCCACTCCTTGGGAGGTTTAATAGTTAACGCTGGGCCTTTTACAAGTGTTTACTCGGGAAGGCGGGTTTCGCTCAGCCCTGCTCCCCTTGCAGGCTTCTCTGGGGGGAAGGGACAGTGGAGGTGGGGGCCCTGTGGGGGGCTGTGTCTGCTTCGGGGGACAGCACCTACAGGGGAGGGCAGGGGAGTCCCCTCCAGACGAGGGTCTCACTGCCCCCCACATATGCAGAGCTCCTTGGGCTGCACAGAACTGGAATGGGACCCTGCACCCAAGCCAGCCTGGGACCCTGACACCCAGGGCTGTGATGGCAGTGCAGCCAGGCCAACATCCCCAGCGGGCACACGGAGATTCACACCCACACGTCCACGAGGGGCCTCCAAAGAGGGCTGCCTCAGGCATGTGTGCAGGGCTCCCTGGGGCATCTCAAAGTGGGCTCAGTCTGGGACCACATCAGAGCCGTCTGGCCTTGGCGCCCTGCCAAGTGCTTGTGCGTTTTCGTGTAATGAGGCTGGGAACATGATAGAGGCCGTACAAAGTCTGGGGTGTGCTGGGCACGCCCGGAAAACACAGCCGGGTCTGGGTCCCAGATGGTAACCAGCCGCGAGCAGGGGGAGGGTGCAGCTCAGCCCTTGCCCCCTAGCTCTTGGTGCTGCAAGCTGCCTGCTGCTCTGCTAATAGGATTGACATGCAAGGGAAAAGTGGAGCTTTCCAGGAAGGCTGTTAGAGAACTGAAGTGACTGAATGGGTGTCTGCCCTGCGCTGCCCCCCAGGCTAGAGCACATGTGACATGGTCTCTCTGCAGTATTTAGCCAGGCCTTGCGCTCATTCTCCCCAGGTCTGACCAGTCCAGGGAGGACTGGGCCCTGGGCATACAGTAATTACTCGTTTAACACGTGCCTCCTTAACACATTTTCGCAATAGCACAATTTTTTTTTAGGGAACGTTTTTCAAACACCACGACCGTCCCTAAAATAACACAAAAATAATTAAGTGGCAGGCTACTTCGCACGGCGGTGTAAGTGGGTGAAAACAGCAGTAATACGCATGAGCGGATGAATACACATGGTCAAAGTGCTCCTCCGCTCACTCCCGTGTTTATCTTTGTGTTTTAACAAACCCCAGTGACTTGTGTTGCTAGAGATCTAATGTTGACGTTGACAACCCAGCACCAACAAAAAATTGACTTTGCCACCACCACCTGAAACACAACCCCCACCTTTTCCATTATTTTTAATGGGAAAAATTGATCCCACATAGCATGTTTTCGCTTAGCATGAACATTTTCAGAAACACATCTAGGCTGTGTCTACACTGGGCCACTTATTCCAGAAAAGCAGCCGCTTTTCCGGAATAAGCTGCAAGCTGTCTACACTGGCCGCTTGCTTTTCCGGAAAAGCAATGACAATCTACTGTAAAATTGTCAGTGTTTTTCCGGAAAAACTATGCTGCTCCCGTTCCGGCAAAAGTCCTTTTCCGGAAAAACTGTTCCGGAAACGGGCCAGTGTAGACAGCACAGTAGTCTTTTCCGCAAAAAAGCCCCGATCGCGAAAATGACGATCGGGGCTTTTTTCCGGAAAAACGCGTCTACATTGGCCACGGACACTTTTCCGGAAAAAGCATCCTGCCAATGTAGACGCGCTTTTTCCGGAAATACTTATAACGGAAAACTGTTCCGTTTTAAGCATTTCCGGAAAAGGGTGCCAGTGTAGACATAGCCCTATAGCGTTAAATGAGGAATTACTGTACAAGGGAGGGATGCAGGGAAAACTGGGCCCAGAGAGTTGGGTGCACTTGTTGTGGGGAGGAACTGGGCGCCCAGTGTACTGGGAGGAAGAAGGGAGAACTGGGCCTACAGTGTCTCTGAGGGAGAAGAGTCGGACCCAGAGTGGGGGAGGGCGTGAAAGGGGGGGAGGATTCCAGGCCACAGCAAGCCCCTAAGGAACAGCACAAGTAACACCAGGGAAGGCCAGAGGCGAGTGCCTTCCTGCCTGACTGGAGGCTGGGTCACTGCTCTGCTTCTCTGTAAGCAGCCTGGCACCTCCTCTGCCCTCCTAATGTGGGCTGCCAGGGAGGACTTAGGGGTCTTGCACTGAGCGTTCCACACACATAGCGGGTAGGTGAGACCCACCTAGTGCCAAAACCCAGCCCCCATCCAAATGCAGATGAGCCTGCACGCCCAGTGTCCCCAGCTGCACGTGGCAGCCCCATCCGCACCGACCCCCACATCACAGCCGCTGCTTCACTGCCACAGGGTTTGGGAACCCCCTCCACATTCCAAGGCAAGAAGTGGGGTTCAGCCCGCACAATTCCCCTGGAACACCGGCAGGCCCAGTTCGCACCCCGAGACATGGCATGGAGTCGCGATGGCCCTAGCAGGCCCTGCCCAGCATTGTCCCCTGCCATGGGGACTCACAGCACTGCCTCTAGGAAACCTAGGCCCTACCTAGGGAAGCAATGCCTCCTTCATTCAGAGCTGGGGAGGCTGGTGCAGGCATAGGGGACTAAGAACCATAATAGTTGCTGACACCAAGCAAATTTTGTGCCTAGATGAAGAGGGTGCACTGGTCATGCCTGGCAACGGGACTTCCAAGAGCCATGATCCAGGGGAGAGCTGGTCACACCTGGCACCAAGACTCAGAACCCTGAGTCAGC